CTAACATAAATGAACTTAAAGAATTTTGTCGGACATCACGTGATGGTAAAAATTTTGTTGGCGATACTGGGGAAGATGTAACTATACGTAGATGTCATGATTCATATTAGACTACAAATTAATTTTATACGTATACAATATCGATATATAATAAATATATACAAGATTAACAATCATGCTACGTTCTAATTCTAACCAGATCTTAGCACTACGTAACTTATACATATGCGTATATAGAATAGTTCAGCACATGTCAATCTCAACAAATTTGCTATATAGTGACTTATAACAATATAAAAAGCTACGTCAACATTTTTTAGCATGAAGCAAAACCGAGCCTTAACTAGCATAAATATCAATATAGCAATGTAAATCAATATATATAGAAATATATAGTCACTTATTTGGTACACTCGTTTGAATTTATTTTAAATAAATAGTAATTAGCAAATAATATAACATTTATTACAAATCATATGTGGAAAACTATTAATTTAAGTTTGAATCATATGACAGATACGTATAAACACTTTTTAAATAAAAGTTTGCCGTAATAGAGATATGCCATGTGATCGAAGATTTTAAATGTTATTTCGCCACAAATTTTTATCTTTACGCTGGGACAGGCTTGGCATTCCAAATTTTGTTGGCGTATTCTTTAATGGAACGATCACTAATAACGTTGAATAACAATAAACATGATTAACAAATAGTGAATTATCAAAAGTATAATTTGAGTGCGACCAAGGGAAAACCTGCAGATACAATTTAAATTTTCACTGTATCGGACTTATATTACATAAAAAAAACCATGGTTCCAATGTGTACAAGCTGTAATACATGTTACAAGGAACTTAAGCTTGGTCAATGAAAATTTAAATATTGCAGATTTTCCCTTGGCGGCACTTATTTATTCAATGATTTGCTTATATTATACGTACGCTGAGAATTTACCCATCCGGGCAGTGCATAAAATACTCTTTCTTATCCAATCATCTTGATCTTTATACGCTTCATCGACTAAGCTCTGTGCATTAAGATATGATCCAAAGTCATCCGAGATTAAATAGTAATCTTTGCCGACAGTTAAAGTATTAATTAGAGGAGCAAATATGCGTGAATCGCCATATTGACCGGATTCGACATCCTTAACGACTTCTTGTAGTGCAGGATCCATTGGCACATTGCGATACCTATTATATACAGTTAGTATATATGAGGCAATATCGAATTTATAAAGTATAACAATGATAATAATTACCTATGAGCATGCCTCAAATCTTCAACTTGATCAGCCAAATTTCCGAACATAAATATATTATCATCACCAATTTCTTCATGAATCTCAATATTTGCACCATCTACAGTCCCGAGAATTAAGCCGCCATTTAAGACGAATTTCATATTACTAGTACCAGAAGCTTCAGTGCCAGCTGTTGAAATATGTTGTGAAATATCTGACGCTGGAATAATAATTTCGGCAACGGACACATTATAATCAGGAATGAAAACAACCTAATTGACGTGGGAAGATTAATGTCAATAATGTGAATAACTTGTAATAAAATAATAAATATTTATCAACCTTTAAGAGATTATCGATAGATTTGTCATTGTTAATAACATCTGCGACGCTATTTATTAGTTTGATAACCAATTTAGCAATATAATAGCCTGTAAGAAAAATATATGTGCATACATTAGAAATCTCTCTTTTTTCTTGAAACTTTATTTGATTGGGTTGATTAATTCACCTGGGGCTGCTTTTCCACCAAAGATGACAGCACGTTTAACAACTTCTGACTTTTCTTGTGAAGACATTTTCTTCAAGCAGTTATACCGATGAATAACACTAAAAGCAGTATTAAAGTTTGCAACAATTGCTATAAAATTATGTAAAGACGTTTTTAACATTAACGGAATTAAACAAACCCTAAAATATTCATGAATTGTCTTTTGTATTCATGAATTCTTTTCACTTGAATATCAAACATGGCATCGGGACTAACTATGATCCCAGTCTGCGTTTCGATGTGTTTAGCTAATCGAACCTGTAATAAGAAAAAGAATTAATACAATGCAATATGAATTAATATTTTAAGATATTTGGACATAATAATTTACAAACCTTGTTAAAATGTTTAATCTCAGCCCATCGTTTCTTGAAATCTTTGTCATCAACAAACGACTCAAGTTTTTTCAATAGACTTAAATCCTATAATACAAAAAAAAAACTGCATAAGCAAATTACAAATTGACATATTGACATATTGACATACAAATATTATGCAATACTTTTAGCCAGTCTTTGTTGCCCAAAACTTCTGTAATCAAATCACCTAGTTTTGGGTTAGCTTGATGTAACCATCTATCAAATACAATACAGTAAGAGAATGGTCGATAAAAAATACAATAAAATAAAAAAAAACAGAATTCAAGTTTAAAGTACCTTCGTGGAGTGATTCCATTGGTTACATTATCGAACTTTTCAGAGCCATAATATTTAGCGAAATCTTTGAAAATCTGTCGTATAAAAAATTTAGCAACAATAATAATAATAATAATAATAATAATAATAATAATAATAATAATAATAATAATAATAATAATAATAATAATATAATAATAGTAATATTAATACAATTTAATAAAGGTCTTTCAATGATAAAAGAAAATTCAATAAATAAATCAATAATTGTATTTACAGTTGTTTTGATCAAGTTTGAGTGTAATTCAGCAACACCATTAACTCGATGTGAACCTATTAATTATTTTAGCAATTATTTTCATGTATATTATCATTAAAACGAAAGCAATTAATCAAAACGTACCAACTATGGCAAGATGAGCCATTCTGAATATAAGAGTTAATTAATCAATTAATTCATATAATTTTTGAATTGTCAATTAGAAGAAATACCAACCTTACGAACTGTGGCGTCGATTCTTCAATTATAGATAATTTGGCCAGAAGGTCCCTATCATCTGGGAATTTTTTTTCAACATCTTGCAAGAAAAACTATAAAGCAAGGAATTATAATTTAAATTGTATATTTATTGATGGTTTCACTTCAAAAATAAATTAAATTAAAAATTAAAAATAAAAAGATATAGAAGCACGGCTCACCAGATTGATATCGAAAATAATTTGCATATGTCTTGGTAGTAAATATGCGACCATTGGTACAGGCCATTTTTCCATGGCTTCTGGAAGGATAGTGTGATTTGTGAATGCAAACGTACGGCGAACGATATCCCAAGCCTCATCCCAGTCAAGACACTACAGGTGCAAAGAGATTAGGTTTTAAGCTATAACTAAATAAAATGTCTGTGGGAGACTTGCCTCGATATCAACTAAGATCCTTTGTAATTCAACAATGGCAAGAGTTGGATGTGTATCTATATAAAACCTTGGTTTAATATGTATGAGAGATGCTTAGCTAAAGCAAACATTAAAGCAAATTTTAGCATACCGTTCAATTGAATAGCAACCTTCAATAAATAAAAATATAAAATAAAAATATATGTTTAAAAAAAGAGAAATTACAAAAAAAATAAAATAAAATAAGATAAAGTAAAAATAATAATGATAAAAATAATAAAATAAATAAAAAATATTAAAAGTAATCAAAAAAAATTGAAATCAAAAAAAATAATAATAATCATAATAAAATAGAAAAAAAATATACATATTAATAAATAAAAAATACATATTTATTATTGAAAAATGAAAGTAAGTATATATTATATTGAAAATAAAAAATATATGTTTAAAATAGAAAATATACATGTAAAAATAGAAATAGATATATTAAAATTGAATATATATATATATATATATTAAAAAGAAATAAAAAAATACATATATTATTAGAAATAAAAATAAATTAAATCAATTAGAGTATATATTCATAAATTTTTATTATTACCTGATCAGGAAATTTACTCCACGGTTTTCCAGATTTATTGAAGCGACGAACACTTATGTGATTGAATTAAAGTCATATTATTATAATACAATATTTTTCATAGATAAAATAAAATATCAAATGCATACATATCGTGTAAGCTAGCAGCAACCCAGAAGTATTGTTGCTTGAGACGTAATTCTTTACCAACCATATGGTTGTCATTTGGATATAGAACAGCAGTAATATTTTCAGCCTGCATTTGTTCTTGAACGGCCTGTTCGTATTGGCCTTCGTTAAATCGGTGAAGATCAAACTGACGCTTTGGCTTACTACTCCATAAACGGATATTAATGCAGTTTTTGGTGCCATATCCTATATGATATTGTAGACATTGTAAATTATAATATAAAAGCAGTAATTGAGGATTGCAATAAAAATTGCAAACAATAAATAAAAAACCAACCAGGAATAGGAACGTCGTAAGCAACAGCTTTTATTATATCAGAGCCTTCCCAAACATGTCGCACTCGACCTTCATCATCAGTATATTTGTTGACAGAACCACCGAATTGAACATCAACAACGACATCAAGACGAGGCAACTCCCATGGATTATCGAAATTCAGCCAATAATCAGGAAATTCTACTTGATAACCATCTTTTAATCTGACAATCGAAGGTAAATTTAGAAAAATTAATTTAATAATTTGTAATAAGAAATAAAGTTTAATACCTTTGCTGAAAGATACCATAAGTATATCTGAGGCCATATCCCCATGCAGGATAGTCTAATGTAGCCAGAGAATCCATATAACAAGCGGCAAGACGACCAAGACCTCCGTTACCAAGAGCAGCATCAACTTCTTGATCAAGGACATCCTCCATTCTGAAACCCAAATCCTTGACACCCTCTATTAGAGAAAGTCACATACCAAGAGTTATATTAAAGAATAATAAAACAAATTTAAATAACGGAAACAAATTAATAAATACCTCCAAAACTTTCCTTCAACCCCAAATTGAGAAGGGCGTTATCTAATGATCTACCCAATAAAAATTCCAAAGATAGATAATAAACACGCTTTGGGTCGCTTTCAGTGTGACTCTAAAAAAAAAAAAACATGTAGAAAACCCTTTCGTTAGTCATATTTTTTAAAAAAGATGGATAATCCTGAAAAAATATCTAATCTATATTGAAAGTTTCAAGGAAGCAAAATATTCTTGTAACAATAAAATACACGGAAAAGAACGGACCTGCTGAGTATCATTCCATCGTTTGATCAATCGATCACGAACACTATAAACGCATTGAACATAAGTATTAGATGTATTAGAACATATTAATAGATTAGCAAGATAACTTAAAATAACCTACGTGTTAGCGGTGGCTTGATATGCACTAAAGTTATCGATATTATAAACTGATCTGGCGAGAGTTGTGGTCACGTGACGAACAAACGATCTTTGAAAGCTTTCTTTGTCTAAGACAAATGTAAAAAAATTACTCATTTCATAATGACCACACCATAAAACTTAAAGCAGTGAGATTTATGACTTCAGACAAAATACAAACCATTGTTATCACCAACGGCGCATTTCTCCCATAAGCCCAAAATTTTTGGATCCCAATTTTCTTGTTCACTTTTTGTTAGACCAGTAGGAGTTCGCTTATGATATCTTATCCTGGTGGGGGTAGTGGTTGACATTACGAGGATGTTTGAAAAAGACTTAAAAAAATCGAGAAAATTTAAGACTTTAAAGTCGGGAATTTTAAGGTAAAGGAGATTTAGACGACTTATATGGAAAATTCTGCCAATCAAAATCAAATCATTGCAATGACTGCAGGGATCTAAGATGGATCAAGTTCACCTACCTCAAACGCTAATCGTATGACAATAAAGTTAAATTACATAATGGTAATGTCAGAAAAAAAAAATTACATGTGAAGATTTGCCTCTATTTTCTAAATTGTCCGATTGGCAGGTAATTGTAATACATCGAACAAGAGAAAAGAGAAATCGTAATCTTCTGGGGCTTAAAGTACTAGTGTTTCAAAATATATAAAATTCAATTAAGTTGGCCTGAATTGATTTATTTAAGTCACTACGTAGTTATCTGCTAAACCATTCGACTAAATGCGTAGTTTTGATACGAACCGACTAAGCTAGTTAGTAAACGAATCATTTACAAGAACAATACATTTTATTAAGTACAGTATATATATTAAGTACAGTATATATTAAGTAAATATATATGTACTACATACATTTGAATTAATTAACAAATATACTACGTAAATCTTGATGATACATATAATAATAAATATTTAAAATTAGTTAGGCAAAGATAAAAGACCGGTTTTTTTGTTAATTTAGTTAAATGAAATATAATAGGCAATATGAAAGTCTTAACATGTAAATGTGGATGAACTGAACACCGATTTAGCGATAATACGTAACAGGTAATACATATTGCTACGTACGTACATACGTATCGATGAATTTAATTGACAATATGGAGGTTAACAAAGGGTATATAATAAAGTGGTACGGAAACGCAAATTAGGACGGACGTGTAGAAATCAAGATAGTACGTACGGTTTGTAAAAGAAAAACATCGTCAAGCCCATGTATTAACCCAACATGGAAAAAGGACAATACTAGCGTTCACCCTAACCCTAACCATTAAAAATGGTTACGTAATTATAAAAATTGAATTTTACATAAGCCGTACGCACTATCTAAATTTAGTATAATTTTCGTATGTCCGTCCGAATTTGTACTAGCATACAGTACCGGTACTACTTTATTGAATACCTTCAACGAACGTGCGTACGTACGTAGCAATATGTATTACCTGTTACGTATTATCGCTAAATCGGTGTTCAGTTCATCCACATTTACATGTTAAGACTTTCATATTGCCTATTATATTTCATTTAACTAAATTAACAAAAAAACCGGTCTTTTATCTTTGCCTAACTAATTTTAAATATTTATTATTATATGTATCATCAAGATTTACGTAGTATATTTGTTAATTAATTCAAATGTATGTAGTACATATATATTTACTTAATATATACTGTACTTAATATATATACTGTACTTAATAAAATGTATTGTTCTTGTAAATGATTCGTTTACTAACTAGCTTAGTCGGTTCGTATCAAAACTACGCATTTAGTCGAATGGTTTAGCAGATAACTACGTAGTGACTTAAATAAATCAATTCAGGCCAACTTAATTGAATTTTATATATTTTGAAACACTAGTACTTTAAGCCCCAGAAGATTACGATTTCTCTTTTCTCTTGTTCGATGTATTACAATTACCTGCCAATCGGACAATTTAGAAAATAGAGGCAAATCTTCACATGTAATTTTTTTTTTCTGACATTACCATTATGTAATTTAACTTTATTGTCATACGATTAGCGTTTGAGGTAGGTGAACTTGATCCATCTTAGATCCCTGCAGTCATTGCAATGATTTGATTTTGATTGGCAGAATTTTCCATATAAGTCGTCTAAATCTCCTTTACCTTAAAATTCCCGACTTTAAAGTCTTAAATTTTCTCGATTTTTTTAAGTCTTTTTCAAACATCCTCGTAATGTCAACCACTACCCCCACCAGGATAAGATATCATAAGCGAACTCCTACTGGTCTAACAAAAAGTGAACAAGAAAATTGGGATCCAAAAATTTTGGGCTTATGGGAGAAATGCGCCGTTGGTGATAACAATGGTTTGTATTTTGTCTGAAGTCATAAATCTCACTGCTTTAAGTTTTATGGTGTGGTCATTATGAAATGAGTAATTTTTTTACATTTGTCTTAGACAAAGAAAGCTTTCAAAGATCGTTTGTTCGTCACGTGACCACAACTCTCGCCAGATCAGTTTATAATATCGATAACTTTAGTGCATATCAAGCCACCGCTAACACGTAGGTTATTTTAAGTTATCTTGCTAATCTATTAATATGTTCTAATACATCTAATACTTATGTTCAATGCGTTTATAGTGTTCGTGATCGATTGATCAAACGATGGAATGATACTCAGCAGGTCCGTTCTTTTCCGTGTATTTTATTGTTACAAGAATATTTTGCTTCCTTGAAACTTTCAATATAGATTAGATATTTTTTCAGGATTATCCATCTTTTTTAAAAAATATGACTAACGAAAGGGTTTTCTACATGTTTTTTTTTTTTTAGAGTCACACTGAAAGCGACCCAAAGCGTGTTTATTATCTATCTTTGGAATTTTTATTGGGTAGATCATTAGATAACGCCCTTCTCAATTTGGGGTTGAAGGAAAGTTTTGGAGGTATTTATTAATTTGTTTCCGTTATTTAAATTTGTTTTATTATTCTTTAATATAACTCTTGGTATGTGACTTTCTCTAATAGAGGGTGTCAAGGATTTGGGTTTCAGAATGGAGGATGTCCTTGATCAAGAAGTTGATGCTGCTCTTGGTAACGGAGGTCTTGGTCGTCTTGCCGCTTGTTATATGGATTCTCTGGCTACATTAGACTATCCTGCATGGGGATATGGCCTCAGATATACTTATGGTATCTTTCAGCAAAGGTATTAAACTTTATTTCTTATTACAAATTATTAAATTAATTTTTCTAAATTTACCTTCGATTGTCAGATTAAAAGATGGTTATCAAGTAGAATTTCCTGATTATTGGCTGAATTTCGATAATCCATGGGAGTTGCCTCGTCTTGATGTCGTTGTTGATGTTCAATTCGGTGGTTCTGTCAACAAATATACTGATGATGAAGGTCGAGTGCGACATGTTTGGGAAGGCTCTGATATAATAAAAGCTGTTGCTTACGACGTTCCTATTCCTGGTTGGTTTTTTATTTATTGTTTGCAATTTTTATTGCAATCCTCAATTACTGCTTTTATATTATAATTTACAATGTCTACAATATCATATAGGATATGGCACCAAAAACTGCATTAATATCCGTTTATGGAGTAGTAAGCCAAAGCGTCAGTTTGATCTTCACCGATTTAACGAAGGCCAATACGAACAGGCCGTTCAAGAACAAATGCAGGCTGAAAATATTACTGCTGTTCTATATCCAAATGACAACCATATGGTTGGTAAAGAATTACGTCTCAAGCAACAATACTTCTGGGTTGCTGCTAGCTTACACGATATGTATGCATTTGATATTTTATTTTATCTATGAAAAATATTGTATTATAATAATATGACTTTAATTCAATCACATAAGTGTTCGTCGCTTCAATAAATCTGGAAAACCGTGGAGTAAATTTCCTGATCAGGTAATAATAAAAATTTATGAATATATACTCTAATTGATTTAATTTATTTTTATTTCTAATAATATATGTATTTTTTTATTTCTTTTTAATATATATATATATATATATTCAATTTTAATATATCTATTTCTATTTTTACATGTATATTTTCTATTTTAAACATATATTTTTTATTTTCAATATAATATATACTTACTTTCATTTTTCAATAATAAATATGTATTTTTTATTTATTAATATGTATATTTTTTTTCTATTTTATTATGATTATTATTATTTTTTTTGATTTCAATTTTTTTTGATTACTTTTAATATTTTTTATTTATTTTATTATTTTTATCATTATTATTTTTACTTTATCTTATTTTATTTTATTTTTTTTGTAATTTCTCTTTTTTTAAACATATATTTTTATTTTATATTTTTATTTATTGAAGGTTGCTATTCAATTGAACGGTATGCTAAAATTTGCTTTAATGTTTGCTTTAGCTAAGCATCTCTCATACATATTAAACCAAGGTTTTATATAGATACACATCCAACTCTTGCCATTGTTGAATTACAAAGGATCTTAGTTGATATCGAGGCAAGTCTCCCACAGACATTTTATTTAGTTATAGCTTAAAACCTAATCTCTTTGCACCTGTAGTGTCTTGACTGGGATGAGGCTTGGGATATCGTTCGCCGTACGTTTGCATTCACAAATCACACTATCCTTCCAGAAGCCATGGAAAAATGGCCTGTACCAATGGTCGCATATTTACTACCAAGACATATGCAAATTATTTTCGATATCAATCTGGTGAGCCGTGCTTCTATATCTTTTTATTTTTAATTTTTAATTTAATTTATTTTTGAAGTGAAACCATCAATAAATATACAATTTAAATTATAATTCCTTGCTTTATAGTTTTTCTTGCAAGATGTTGAAAAAAAATTCCCAGATGATAGGGACCTTCTGGCCAAATTATCTATAATTGAAGAATCGACGCCACAGTTCGTAAGGTTGGTATTTCTTCTAATTGACAATTCAAAAATTATATGAATTAATTGATTAATTAACTCTTATATTCAGAATGGCTCATCTTGCCATAGTTGGTACGTTTTGATTAATTGCTTTCGTTTTAATGATAATATACATGAAAATAATTGCTAAAATAATTAATAGGTTCACATCGAGTTAATGGTGTTGCTGAATTACACTCAAACTTGATCAAAACAACTGTAAATACAATTATTGATTTATTTATTGAATTTTCTTTTATCATTGAAAGACCTTTATTAAATTGTATTAATATTACTATTATTATATTATTATTATTATTATTATTATTATTATTATTATTATTATTATTATTATTATTATTATTATTATTATTATTGTTGCTAAATTTTTTATACGACAGATTTTCAAAGATTTCGCTAAATATTATGGCTCTGAAAAGTTCGATAATGTAACCAATGGAATCACTCCACGAAGGTACTTTAAACTTGAATTCTGTTTTTTTTTATTTTATTGTATTTTTTATCGACCATTCTCTTACTGTATTGTATTTGATAGATGGTTACATCAAGCTAACCCAAAACTAGGTGATTTGATTACAGAAGTTTTGGGCAACAAAGACTGGCTAAAAGTATTGCATAATATTTGTATGTCAATATGTCAATATGTCAATTTGTAATTTGCTTATGCAGTTTTTTTTTTGTATTATAGGATTTAAGTCTATTGAAAAAACTTGAGTCGTTTGTTGATGACAAAGATTTCAAGAAACGATGGGCTGAGATTAAACATTTTAACAAGGTTTGTAAATTATTATGTCCAAATATCTTAAAATATTAATTCATATTGCATTGTATTAATTCTTTTTCTTATTACAGGTTCGATTAGCTAAACACATCGAAACGCAGACTGGGATCATAGTTAGTCCCGATGCCATGTTTGATATTCAAGTGAAAAGAATTCATGAATACAAAAGACAATTCATGAATATTTTAGGGTTTGTTTAATTCCGTTAATGTTAAAAACGTCTTTACATAATTTTATAGCAATTGTTGCAAACTTTAATACTGCTTTTAGTGTTATTCATCGGTATAACTGCTTGAAGAAAATGTCTTCACAAGAAAAGTCAGAAGTTGTTAAACGTGCTGTCATCTTTGGTGGAAAAGCAGCCCCAGGTGAATTAATCAACCCAATCAAATAAAGTTTCAAGAAAAAAGAGAGATTTCTAATGTATGCACATATATTTTTCTTACAGGCTATTATATTGCTAAATTGGTTATCAAACTAATAAATAGCGTCGCAGATGTTATTAACAATGACAAATCTATCGATAATCTCTTAAAGGTTGATAAATATTTATTATTTTATTACAAGTTATTCACATTATTGACATTAATCTTCCCACGTCAATTAGGTTGTTTTCATTCCTGATTATAATGTGTCCGTTGCCGAAATTATTATTCCAGCGTCAGATATTTCACAACATATTTCAACAGCTGGCACTGAAGCTTCTGGTACTAGTAATATGAAATTCGTCTTAAATGGCGGCTTAATTCTCGGGACTGTAGATGGTGCAAATATTGAGATTCATGAAGAAATTGGTGATGATAATATATTTATGTTCGGAAATTTGGCTGATCAAGTTGAAGATTTGAGGCATGCTCATAGGTAATTATTATCATTGTTATACTTTATAAATTCGATATTGCCTCATATATACTAACTGTATATAATAGGTATCGCAATGTGCCAATGGATCCTGCACTACAAGAAGTCGTTAAGGATGTCGAATCCGGTCAATATGGCGATTCACGCATATTTGCTCCTCTAATTAATACTTTAACTGTCGGCAAAGATTACTATTTAATCTCGGATGACTTTGGATCATATCTTAATGCACAGAGCTTAGTCGATGAAGCGTATAAAGATCAAGATGATTGGATAAGAAAGAGTATTTTATGCACTGCCCGGATGGGTAAATTCTCAGCGTACGTATAATATAAGCAAATCATTGAATAAATAAGTGCCGCCAAGGGAAAATCTGCAATATTTAAATTTTCATTGACCAAGCTTAAGTTCCTTGTAACATGTATTACAGCTTGTACACATTGGAACCATGGTTTTTTTTATGTAATATAAGTCCGATACAGTGAAAATTTAAATTGTATCTGCAGGTTTTCCCTTGGTCGCACTCAAATTATACTTTTGATAATTCACTATTTGTTAATCATGTTTATTGTTATTCAACGTTATTAGTGATCGTTCCATTAAAGAATACGCCAACAAAATTTGGAATGCCAAGCCTGTCCCAGCGTAAAGATAAAAATTTGTGGCGAAATAACATTTAAAATCTTCGATCACATGGCATATCTCTATTACGGCAAACTTTTATTTAAAAAGTGTTTATACGTATCTGTCATATGATTCAAACTTAAATTAATAGTTTTCCACATATGATTTGTAATAAATGTTATATTATTTGCTAATTACTATTTATTTAAAATAAATTCAAACGAGTGTACCAAATAAGTGACTATATATTTCTATATATATTGATTTACATTGCTATATTGATATTTATGCTAGTTAAGGCTCGGTTTTGCTTCATGCTAAAAAATGTTGACGTAGCTTTTTATATTGTTATAAGTCACTATATAGCAAATTTGTTGAGATTGACATGTGCTGAACTATTCTATATACGCATATGTATAAGTTACGTAGTGCTAAGATCTGGTTAGAATTAGAACGTAGCATGATTGTTAATCTTGTATATATTTATTATATATCGATATTGTATACGTATAAAATTAATTTGTAGTCTAATATGAATCATGACATCTACGTATAGTTACATCTTCCCCAGTATCGCCAACAAAATTTTTACCATCACGTGATGTCCGACAAAATTCTTTAAGTTCATTTATGTTAG